TCCTCATAAGGCTGCGGTTCTCTTGGTTGGTTGTGCATCTTTTTCCTTCCACTCCACTCCTTTCTGTTAACATGTTTGGATAGAGCACTCTGTGAACAGCCAGCTTCTTTGGCAATGAATGTTTGTGGCTTACCCTCCTTGTGAAGGGTGTCAATGATTGTCTTCTGGACAACTGTCAGATCAGCAGTCTTCCCCATGATTGTGTAGCCTAGTGAACCAAACTGAGAGACCATTTTGAAGGCTTAGGAAACCTTTGCAGGTGTTTTGAGTTGATTAGCTGATTGGCATGTCACCATATTCTAATTTGTTGAGATAGTGAATTGGTGGGTTTTTGTTAAATGTGAGTCAAAATCATCACAATTAAAAGAACCAAAGACTTAAACTACTTCAGTCTGTGTGCACTGAATTGATTTAATACACGATTTTCACAATTTGAGTTGAATTACTGAAATAAATGAACTTTTCCACAACATTCTAATTTATTGAGATGCACCTGTACATTTGCAGATTGATAATAGTGGGATTGAAGCAGACTTTCTCTATTTACAGTGCCGGTGTGTCTAACACTGTGATGTACTTTGGTCGTCTGAAGCAATCCGGCTCAAACCCTAATGAGACGTCCAGGACAGCGAGTCCAATCATCAACCATCCTAACTATGTCGGTGCTCCTTATGACAACGATATAGCACTGGTCCAGCTCTCCTCCTCTGTGACTTTCTCTGATTACATAAGGCCGGTCTGTCTGGCAGCGGCTGGGAGTGTATTTGGTGGAGGTATGGAGAGCTGGGTCACTGGATGGGGCAGACTACAATCTGGAGGTGAGTGAACATTTGCTTGCTAGTTATTCTGTAAACCTCAACAATTTACCTAGAAATGTTTTTTTAAAGCCATAAAATTTGTCCTCTGATCTGTGTCACAGGCTCAGTGTCTGATATGCTGCAGGAGGTGACGATGACAGTTGTGAACAACATTGACTGTAATAAGTCTTATGGAGGGAGCATCACAAGCAATATGATTTGTGCTGGACAGCAAGGGAAAAGTGCATGTCCGGTAAGACATCAGTCATTCATTTTAACCATTTTTAATCCAAAGTTATTTACAAAACACCTGCAAACTTTACACTGCCAACATTGTTGCTTAATGAAGCCCAGTCTTAAACTCAAACACTACGACTAGGGATGCACTGAAATGTCGGCCGCCGAAAATGGTGTTTTTACTTTTTGGTCGAAAGAGAAAAACGGCTGAAAATATATTCCGCCCCGCCCTTGCAGCGTTCAGTCCCAAAGGATGATGAATTCTAAACATAAATAAAACAACACAGTTTATTAAAGAAACTAACAGAAATTAATCCAAAATAGTAAGCCAAGCAAGTGTGCACTGCACAAACAATACCAGACAACACAACACAACACAGAGGAACTTAAAAACACAGTGATAACGAACTAAAGGGAGAACAGGTGTGCTGATTAATGAATGTCCATGGTGACTGATGAGTGGCGGGAAGATAGAACAAAGAATACAGGAAGGTGAAGTGACAAACTAAAAGTCCATGATAATGAAACTAAAAAACCTAATGGTGACATCCCAGCAGTGTTCAGTGCTCAGGTTTCACTCTATATAAGATAATAATATAGTATAGTCTATATAGATTATAATATAATATAGTCTATATAAAGCACCGACAGATGTCTTAATTTCAGCATTTACTAATACGTTATTAAAATCAAAAGTTGTTAGTGTATTTTTTAATGAACCTGAACTAATGCACATGTTTCTCATGTCATCATCTCTTTGGGAAATTCATAATAAATAATAATAACTCAAGATGCTCTGTTGAGATATGTGTGATATATGCTTTATTTAAACAGCAAAGGAAATACATGAAATTGGTTTGAGCCAGTAAATGAAAATGCATTGATGGACACACGGCCGGCATACTTTCACCATTGGGTTATTGCATACTTCTGTCTGTAATACAGTTGTTTATAGTATACTGTCAGATATATAAATGCTGAATGTGTCTCAATACAGGGAGACTCTGGAGGTCCAATGCTCAGCAGGAACGGCTCCCTGTGGATTCAGTCCGGCATTGCAAGCTTTATAATAATCCCGTGTGATGACCCCAAACATCCCAATGGGTTCGCCAGAGTCTCTCAGTACCAGGACTGGATCAAGTCTTACACGGGAAGCAACCCACCTGGATTTGTTGCATTCAATGCAGCATCCAACTTCAACCTCAGAAGTGTTTCCAGCCTCCTCTTATTCCCCCTTTCTCTCACAGTCTCCATCATTCCTTTCACCTTCTCCCTCTTTCTCACTTCCTAAAGATCGCTTGAACAGTACTTCTCAGGTTTGTTTGATGAAGAGGACAGTTCTGCTGTACATGCTCTCATAAATATGAGGAAAAAACAGTTATATTATTGTATTTGCCATTTATTCTTTATCATGCTTTAAATGTACTATACTTCAAAAGCTCTCTTACTGACATTTGAAGAGGAAACACTAATAAAGTTCAGTTCATCATGCTTCTCTGAGATTCAGGATGTTTGCATAAATAGTAGAGATGGACTGATATGGATATATTCCTTGTATATGTTTGATAAATAATGCATTCATTTTCATTTCGGGGTAAACTAAATGAATCTGGCTCCACATAGTTTAAGTTTATGTGTTTACAGGGGCAATGCACATTAATAAGCATAACTGTAAATGTGCCAAAATTAGCTAAAAAGGCTATTTTTCATCTGTTGACAGATTGTTCAAATGTCACCCTAAAAACAAAGAAAGAGCATCATTACACATATACACCTACTAAAATGCAAAATATTAGTAAATTATCTAGACAAAGTAAAAATATGAGGGAAAGGAGAGAGAGAGAGAGAGACAGAGAGATATCTTGTATAATATATCTTCTTTAATAATTCAGTAAAAACATAAGACCTATATTTTTAAAGAATACAAATATTCAAACATACATATATTTACAATTTTCTTACTTAGCTCTTGTCTCTTCTGACTAAAATCATCTTGTAGATTTACATCATTTTTATCAATTAATATAATCTGGATTTTTTAAATACCATTCTCTAATTTTGGCATTTCATATTTAATTTTACAGGACGTGTGTGCCACAAATTGTTGACAGAAAAGCTTAATCTGAGTTTTCCCTATCTCCCACCACTGAAGAAGATTATCATAATAATTTTTTGCCTCAACCCAACAATTCCAAAACAATTTAAAATTCTCATAAAAATTAACATCTTGAATTAATTTAATATCAAAATGCCAATAAAAGAATTGTGGTTTTGTTTCTGATAAAATAACATTCACATTAATAAGCTGATGATCAGAGATAATACAGGGTGTGATATATGCACTTATCACTCTATTACACTGATTGTTATTAGGGATGCAACGATTAACCGATTTCACTATTAACCGGGCTTTAAATCATCATGGTTAATTAATCGTAAAGGCTCCGCAACACTGTGTTTCTGACGGAGGCTATTACGCACGCACACTGGATTAACTATGGCAGAGGCACCTAGCAGCGAAACTCTGTTTCCTCCAAAGAAGCGCCTGAAGTCGGCAGTTTGGGATTATTTTGGGTACACAAAGAAGATTGAAGATGACGGATCACCTGTTTGCAAAACGTGCGGTAAAAAGGTTGCTGCTAAAGGATCGAATACATCAATTTTGATGCAGCACCTGCAGGATCACCACCCAGCTTTGCACGCTCAAGTAAAGGTAATACATAATAACGGAGTTAAATTACGTGGCAAATAACTTAATAAAATATGTTGGTAGGGAATTAAATATAAACGTGTCACTTACAATCAATGCCGTAGCGGTGAGAGTTGTGGGCTTTCAGTGCAATGTAAACAAAGCCGCATGTAATGTTCGTCACGTGTAAAGACACGTGTAAAATTTGATTAATTATTAAAAATTATTAAAATGAATATGTATGGATAATAGTTGATGACAATAACAGTTCAGTTAATAAGTTAATATTAGTCTTATATTAATAATAATATTAAATATTATAGAAATATAATTGTTAATGTAATTAAATATTGAAAATCAACTTAAATCATTCCTGCAAGTCTAGTCAAAGGTCATCTTGGTATGGATTTTTTTTTCTTATTCATTTTTAGCTCAAGACTAGTGGTGTAGCTGCAGTTCAACAACCAACTGTTGCCGAATCCTTTGCAAAGTGTGTGACTTATGCTCCCACTTCAAAACAAGCCCAGGATTTGAATAAAGCAGTGGCCTATTTCATCTCCAAAGATATGATGCCATTTCAGATTGTGGAAAAACTTGGATTTCTTCATCTGATGAAAAAAGCAGTGCCACAATACAAAGTTCCAACAAGAAGCTACTTCTCCACAAACAAAATCCCAGCCATGTACAAGGAGGTACGAGCAAGTGTGGAGGAACAGCTGGCAGAAGGTGTGTGGTTTGGCGTAACCACAGACCTGTGGACCAGCCATGGT